CAAAATCGGTACTTTTCAGTATTTGTTACTCTGTAGCGAAATGGGTACTTTTCGGTATTCGTTACTTCTGTACCGAAACGGGTACTTTTTGGTATTCGTTACTTCTGTATCGAAACGGGCACTTTTCGGTATTCGTTACTTTTGTACCGAAACGGATACTTTTCGGTATTCGTTACTTCTGTACCGAAACGGGTGCTTTTCGGTATTCGTTACTTTGTAACGAAAATATGCGCCTCTTCTCGGTATTCGTTACTGGAGGATTGATGAGGGTTCAGCTCACTTCGGTTTTGGTACGAGGACAGTAGTATCTGGTTGTATTTGCGAAATGGTGATATGCGCTCCTTGTGTCCATGAATGGTCTGCTCCTCAGACACTTCCGTAGTTGACATGTTTTCTGACATTCAAAATCTTACTCCGTACAGATAAAATCAAACACGTGGTGACGGGGCAGAGTTCCTTCAGTGCGCAAAATCGTTAGCTGCGTATTTTGGTACTCCAAATCGTTACTAGGGCACTTCGGTACTCCAAATTGTTACTAGGGTACTTTGGTACTCCAAATCGTTACTAGGGTACTTCGGTACTCCAAATCGTTACTACAGTACAGCAAACCGTTACTAGGGTACTACGGTACAGCAAATCGTTACTAGGGTACTACGGTACAGCAAATCATTACTCCAGTATTTCGTTACTTGAAATCGGTTTTCAGTACTTTTCAAAGTAACGGTTGAGTAACGGGTATTTGGTACCGGGTACTTGTCTGTACCCGTTACTCTCATACCGCGTACAAGAATGTACCGAAGTTGCCCATCACTAATTACATTTCTTGCTATTGTTTTATTACCATTTCAGATCTTCAATTGCTCATCTACTTCTCTGACACTTCATATATTAAGAATCCTAAGGTCATTTTCAATTCATTTTGCCCATATACAGTAATTCTCATCAGCTTTTTCTCTCTCAGCGTTACGGCCAGAAAATTCCGTATAGAAAGCTGCCTTCTATATTCATTATAAATGAAAATTTCTCCTAGCTTTTAGTGTATCTGATTTCGGTTTGGATGTATATTGAAAGATAATGAATCAAGGTACAAAATGAGAGAGTCATTTTTTAATTAAAATCAAGACAATACCACTTATTCACGACATTTTGAGGAACTTTGAAATTTTAGGGCTAAACCTGTAATGCTCAGAGGGTTAAACTTATCACATAAACCATATTTTTCTCCTTTTGTTATTCATATTCGCAAATCATTGTATAAATAAGATTTATCTGTCAAAAATTTCACTTCATGTTTGACTTTTCCTTCAGACATGAAAACTTCTATTTTTATTCTACATTTTCAGAACTATGGATAAGCAGTCATTCCGAGCAAAGGTTTTTTTTTTACTACACTTAACCAAATATATGTTTTTAAAAAATTTTGACCAAAACTCTCCAACTGCACAATGACAATGTGCATTCCCCCCATAGGGGGGGTCAATGCATTTGGTTTCATTATCTTTTATATCTTCCTAATAAATCTGATGCCACATGGTTATCATAAATTTTATCACCTCAAACTATCATGTGTGCAGTATTTGTGATAGATGACTTGCTTGTGATACTTATATTAAAAATAAATGGTGCAGACTTGGATAAAATCCTTCTCCCGAAGAAGAAAAAAATTTAATGGAAAGGAACAACTTCAGTCTTCAGGGGATGTACAAAAATTTAATAAATACAACAGCAGCCTTAACAGCGTGGTTGATCTAATTTCAATGTAATATTACAGGTATTCTGAGCTTTATGAAAATAGAATGTTGATCTGGAACTTTTTTATCATTTAAAATGGCATAGAGCAAAAAAGCAATTATGATTAATTTACACGAAAAAAACTTGAAGTATTGAAAGATGTTCAAAAATTTTATCAAATCATACCAGATAACATTTAAAATCTGAAGAAAAATGGTATGATAACTATACAATCCCCATAAATAGAATTTAAAATGCTCTTTGAAGTTTTCCATTACAATATTAAAAAAAAAAAAAAAAAAAAAAAAAAAAAAAAAACAGTAAGCATACTGGAATATTTAGGGATGGTGATAATGGTGTTTTAATTTGAGTTGCTGAATTCAGTAGAAAGAAATGCAAGAACTAGGATTTAGGAAAGATGTAATACAGATCATCCATTAATATTTTTATAGCTATCAGATTACTTTGTCTAATTGCTATGCTTTCCCGCTTCTGTGTTGAAAATCAAGTTTTATTTCTACACTGGCTAATGTGAAAAATTTGAAATAAGCTAGTATGCTTGATTGTTTGTTTAATCTACCATATTACTTCTACTGTGCAGTTCTTAGGCACCATAGTATCCTGACAGCATGCTGTTTTACGTACAAAATCATATTTTTTGCAATTATTGCATAAAACAAATAAATACTCGACAAGATTTAATTTTTTTTAAAGTAAACATTTTTTTGGGGGGAGGGGGAACTTAAAAAATTAAAGAAAAGTTATCTTTCTTGTTAAATCACTAATAGCAATGAAACAACATAACTTTTTTATCTAATGAACTTTTAAAATTTCTGCATGTCCATTTAAGATTATGCAAATTTTCATGCCTGATATTAATAAATTAATAATTTATGATACAAAAATATATTAAATATTATCTATCGTAATATGCTATTATCTTTGCTGATTTTTCCATTAATGATATAATCGTAAAATTCACAATTGCTAAAGCTTAAACTTTTTTTTAATTCTTATGAAGCAGAAATAAGCTATTAACATGTTGACCACCATGGGGGTCACCAGGGTCGGCATTCGACTTGCATACAGTACCAGGGGGCCACGGTGACCAGTGATAAAAATACATAATTAAAGTAAATATCAATATTGATAAATTTTTCAATAATATTATTGTTACTATAATGTTTTGAAGAATAATAAATCACAAAAATGGTCTGCAGCGTCTCAAGTGTCATCACTGACCCCCCACCACGAAAAATGCATTAAACACAATTATATAACTCACCTTATCTTCTGTACATAATATTTCTATAATATACATCGCACAATAAACAATTCGTGTTGGTGCCATGGGCAAACCACGTGCCACGTGTTGGTGCCATGGGCAAATATACGTGGCTATCAAACATGTTAAAATAAATAATTTCATTTTATACTATAATAACTTATTAGACTCTTTTATGTCCTTTGTACTCCATACTATTTACGTCCTACAGCTACCAACATTGAAATATGTGAGTTTTCATCTGCATGGTGGCACCACTCAAAATTGATTTAAATTCGCTTTATAATGCATGATTTCGTTTATTCAACAATTTATATTATGATTCTGACATATAATATATTAATTTAATATTCTAACTTTTATGTTCTTTGGCTAATTTCCTTACATTTTTACACTGAGAAAATTCTGAGTAAGGAAGGAAAGCTTCAGTTTATCAAAGTCCTTTTAAACATGGCAAGGAAGGAAAGCTTCAGTTTATCAAAGTCCTTTTAAACATGGCAACAATAAAATTAATAATTAATGTACAAACTATTGTGTAGATAAACTTAGTAATGTACCATATATTTGTAAGATACTTTTGCCCTTTTTACCATGTGCCTTCATGGTGTAATTGGAAGCACAACCAACTAGTAATCAGAAGGTCCAGAGTTCAAATCCCAGCGAGTATGCATATTTTTTAATGTTTTAATTTTTTAAGCTTTTTAATGAGAGACCCACTGCATATTTTTTAAGTCTCCTGCCTCTAAAAAAAAAATTTTTTTTTTTTTTTTTTTTTTTTTTTTTTTTTTAATCGCTCTGTAGTAGTGCAAACTAAAGTGTGTTGGATGCTAATTCATCACCACCAAGATTTAGTGAATAGGTTCAAAACTTCCTTGCCCTTGCATTTTTGTGGTGAAATCAGAAGGTCTACATTTTGAATTCCGATGAAGACACTGCATATTTTTCATTCATCATTTCAAAATTTAATAAAAAAAATTATCCTGAAGGTAATTAGGAATGGGGGAATGAAATTTGCACAATTTAAGCTTCACTAATTTAATAATGAAAATTAAAATGTGCAGATTTTATTTGCACAGTTTAATTTTACTGCTAAAAAACACTTTTATTAGTAAAGGCTAAAAATTAAAAACTGGGAGTATTATACCTATGATATCCTATATATCTTCATAGTCCATATATATACTGATTTATCAGTACTTACGTATTAATGCAACCAGGCCAAAATTCGCATAAATCGCCAAATTTGGTGACTCTACTTATGGCAACCCTACGTGTTATGGGGCGTGTACTACCACAGCAATGTGTTTTCAGTGGAATTAGCCGAGAAAAGAAAGAGACTTTTTTGGTTACTGTACCTAACAGAAGCGCCGTTACCCTCATGGAAAAAATATGCGAAAATATCAAGGAAGGAAGCATCATTTATTCGGATTGCTGGAAAGGATACAATACAAGTGAGTTCGAAAATGCTTGATTTCTGCATGGAACTGTTAATCAACAATATAACTTTGTGGATCCACAACGGGCGTTCACACAAAACATGTAGAGCGCATGTGGGGCTCAGCCAAATGGCGCGACAAAAAAAAGAGAGGCATCATCTTCACAAGCCCATCATCATCTTCACTCATACCTTATCGAATTTATACGGTGCCAAGCTCAAGCTGTTAATGGTGAAGACGGTTTTCAATCAGTGCTAAAAGCAATATCCAAAAGATTTCCGCCGAAAAAATAATTCTGCAACTTATTCAAATTTGAAACCGGAAGGGTTTAATTGCTATTTTATATTTTAAAACAAAATAATATAAAAACTGTATTAAAATTATCTGTAATTAATAAATGTACATTTTCTTTCTATTCATACTTTTTTTACTCAAACTTACAAATCGTGCCAACCTGGTTGCGATAATACGTAAGTACCGATTTATCTTTTTACCATAAGATAGTCATGAATTAATAATCTATAAAAGGATGTATACATTTATATTTTAATCCAAAAATAATATTCCAAAAGTCAAATTTCTATGTGAATATTTATGAATGCAAGTATACACATATACATTTATATACACACAAAAAAATAAAGTAAAAAATTATTAAAAATTCATTAAATTATTCACTAAATTCATTAAAGTATGTACAGGTTTTTTATAAATATTAAAAGCTGAAATAAGAAGAAATTTGTCAGCTTAAAAATTCTGAATAATCTGAAATTTCTTTCATACAGCCCCAAGACAAACCAAGATGAATTTTTACAGGCAGTTTTACAGAAAGCTTTGTAGTTTCTTCCATGGCATTTTTAATTATTTGTACAACTTTTTCTACGTCTTTTTTATTAACTTCATATATTAGCTCATCATGTAACTGTAGAACTAAGCAAGCTCCTACAAATGGTTTCCTGTCTATATTGCAAACTGAATCTGAAACAAAAGGGAAGAAGGGAACAATTATATAAAACAATTTAGAAAACAGTGCACAGATATTAAGATCAAAATAAAAAATGAACATATGTTTAACATTCCAAATAATAAACCTAAAAAACATGTTTGAGCAAAACTTTCTTAAAGAAATAGTTAAATAAACTATCACTAAATAATAACATAAGATTAAAAACACTTGCTCCTGATAACCATATTTTATTGATCATTCTACCAACAGTTATTTCTATGCTTTGCTACCATTGTACTGCTTATGATACCTTTTTAAATATTACAAAATCATCCATTTAAATACATGATAATTGAAAGAAATTGCAAATGAATTCCATAGAAAGAAACCAAATATACTTAAAAAAGTTGGTTGTAGACCTAAGGTTCAGTTTTTAGAAAGGAATTAAATAAAGACAGCTTTCAGATTAAGGCTACATTAAGCATATAACACCTTTAAGTAAAAAAATAAGGCAATATCTTTATAACCCCTCTATATGTTTTAAACAGCAGAATAACATATTTGACTAGTGGACATAATTTTATTCTTATCCCTGAAAAATGTTTTCTTCGTTGTGTAGGTTGGCATGCAGCAAAGATTATGTGGATCATTTACAAAACTTTGTAGAATTTGCAACTAACACATTGCCTTTTATATGCGTATCAAGTTTTCAACTATCTTCTACATTTCATTTTTTTCCTTCATATTCATTAAGATTATTCAGATTCCTTTCATGGACGTAAGATTGGATTTTGTGCAGTGAACACTCTTTTCAATAAAAATTTCTGATCTTTAGTACAGCTTTAGAAAATTTATAGCTGTGACGCACATTTTCGAATAAAAAATTAAGATATTGTTTGGAGATTTTAATTTAATTGAAGATGATTTTCCTTTATATATATGCACATAAATTAACTGCAATACAAAGCTTTACTATCCTTGCTCTCTTGTACCAGTTTAAATTAATTTCAAAAGTATAAGCATGTTGTGTAAATGTAAAAAAAAAAAAAAAAAAAAAAAAAAAACTGATAGTAAAACTTCTTAAGGTAACTTTTCTGCTTTAGATTTATAATATTATCAAATGCAGAATAATTTAATTCAACTATGATGGGGAAACTCTCTTAAAATCTTTTACTCTCTTAAAAACTCTCTTTCAACTGAAGTTTGAACAAAAATTTGAATCACTAGTTACACAGAACATATACTGAACTGAAAACAGTTGATGGTCCATAATTTTTTTAACAAAATGAATGTGTGCATGTGCGTGTTGCATATAATTAGTAAAGGATGATATAAAACATACAAAAGGTCTAAAATCTCATCATCCAGAAGTGGCAATTTATCTAACACGAAAGCACAAATTAAAAGCAATATCGAATAAAAGCTTGGTATTTCAAGTATTTTGGAGTATAACAATGTGCACAAATAAAAAGATTTCATTATCCATATGTTAATTTGTGCATTAGTTAGCTCTGATGATAAAAATAACTATGAAGCAAACATTAAAAACACAGAAATGGTAAGAATAAAAATTAAAATATCAATGTCAGAAACTGACCTTTTGTGCTTAGTGAATAGGGAGTTGATGCTCTAGCAAATACATTATGTAGATCATTTTCAATCTGAACCATCGCTGCTTTTATAATGTCCGCAGCTGAACCTTGAATTGTTGTATTAATAGCTTGACGTTCAGCATGGGCCCTTTCATTCTTTATTTTACTTCTTATCAAAGGCAAATAACGACGTCGATGATTCAGAGTTGTCACATAACCATTTTTTTGGCATTTCTCCACTATTATTTTTAAATAATTGGTAAGGCCTAAAATTAAATGAATCAGATTTAATGTTCAGCAAAAATCTTAATCTAAAATAGAAAAAATTATCATAGTAAAATATTTTACCAGGATATGAATTCTTGAAAGATTCTAAGAATATAAAAGCATAATCTTCTCCAGTTTTTAGTTGATGAGACAAAGCTTTCACACTCATCCCATATACCATACCATAGCAAATCTACATAAATATATACAGGACTATTTAGATTATCTGTGATATGTGAATTAAAAAATATTTATTTCACAGTGCATAAAAAATTCAAATTTTTGAGAATTTGTAGATAACATACTTTCAAAAGAAAAAATTAATTCCCCAAAAACGAGCTGAACAGAATACTAATAATATTATTTAAACTGTAATAAAATAATTCTTCCAACTTCCACATTACTTAACTTAGAATTATGCATATGTGCAGACAAAAAAGAAAAACTGATTTAGAGTTTTCAGTTTGAGAAGAATTTAATTATACATTGTCTAAAATTATCAACAGAATGATACTGAAAAAACACCAGTTTCAAGAATAAAGAAGCAAAAAAGGCACCAAAATTGAGGCATATCTTGAACTGAAATTGAAAATTGAAGTACATGAGTACCATTTTTTCAATGATATTACACAGAATAATAAGTTTCATCTACAGAATGAATGGAATAATAATCCAGAGTAAAACTGATTGCCATTTATTTAAAATTATTAAACAGATCAGTTCTAACAGTTCCTTCTCAATATGGAATTTGAGAATTAAGTTCTAATGCTGAATTTTACATCTAAATTTCAACAATAAACAACATTAGATTGAAGAAAAGCATGCCAGATGAGCATTTAAATTTGGCAAATATCTAATTTAATTCAATACAGTCGAAAGTCGTTAATCCGGACTCATCGGGACTTCGGTGATTCCGGATTATCGATTTTTCTGGATTATAGATAATCAGTTTAAATCTGGTAAGATGGCATGCAGAAATTAAAATTAAAATATGAACCATAATTTATAATAAAAACAATTATGATCTAAAGAGATCAAAATTTACAAGGAAAAAAAAAAAAAAAACTTGATATTATTTGTTTACTTTATTAAACATTTCTTTCAATGTAAGTGCTTCGTTTTTGTGATATACTTTCTCTTTTCTATAAACGGACTCATTTCTTGTTCAATTACAAGTCCGCTGTTCAAGTCCTAAATTGCTGTGTCGAGAATACTGACGAATTTGTCAACGAATTTTTCGTTAGTGTAAAAGGGGTCCTCTTCAATTAGCGATAAATTTTTTAACAAATTTTGGCAATGAAACCTCATTTCTGGTTACCATGATAGTTATAACTTTGTTTTAGCTTTCTGACTTCTTTTAAATGAAAACAGATTGATGTATACATGGACAAATTTAAAGCTGTGAGCAATGCCTAGTTTGTACTATTCTGGGATGTTTTTTTAAGTGAAAACAGATCGATGTGTACATGGACACAGAGTTTGTGCAATTCTTTGACTTTTTATTATGGTTTTGTGTAGTGGCCATTTTGAAATTGTGCCCTCCTGGCGCCAATCTTGGCATCAAAAAAGAATCGCCAAAAACAAGGGGCACCCAATTGTAAACCCTTTTTTCATTTTTAATAACCTTTGTGTCACTTTCTTCGCTATCGGAAGCAAATTGTAATGACGAGGAATTTGATTTTAATCATATCAGAGACGGAGTACATCAAGACGAAAACTACATTTGGTAAGAAATTATAAGCCAAATAAAATAAAAACATCTGCCCTGAAGATAAGGATAGTGCTCACAGATCAACTTCCAGTTCATTGCGCGCCGCGGCGTTCACTGGTAGTAACTAGTCAAAATTACTTATCCAATTATCACCAAATGAATTATTTTTTTTCATAATTACAATTGTATTGGCAGTTAAGAATATTTACCTTTTTAGCTTGCTGTCGCAAGTCCTCAGTAACAGATTTAGAGGGTATTTTTTTCCATTTAGCTGCAATTTGTTTAAATACATCTTCTCCAGAATTTAAAGATTCCAATAAATTTGCATCATTGGATAAATGAGCCAACACTCTGAGCTCAAGCTGAGAATAATCAGCAGATAAAAAAATATTCCCTGTAGAGAAAATAATACAGAAAATAGATCGATTTATTCATAAGCATGTTAACTGAGGGCAAAGTATACTAAAAATAAGCAATAGGTAATCAAGCCTGCCAAACTTCAAAACTAAATCTATAACTATTAAACTAAATACATAAAAATTGCAGATACTGTAAATTTAACAGCTTTAGAAAACTAAATGTAAATTTTAATTTTATATTTTCAATGTTAAATATGAGAATTTTAGAAGTGAAAGAAATATAATATTATAGTTCGTTGTTTTAGAATGGGAACTTTACAATCCTTTTCCTCAGTAAGCAGTGGTAATAACAGCAGTGGCAGATGGCTGAATGCCTTAATTGTTTCTTTCTCCATTTCATTTAGCTTGTTTCCCTTCACGAAAAGGAGACAAAAGAAGACTAACTTGAACTATAATCTCAAATAAGGTGAAGAAAACAAGTCCTGTGTGGTAATACATTACAATCAAAAATGAGAGAAGGTGAAAAGACTTTGAAGTGCCTATTTTGAAGTAACAGAATGTAGAATAGAAATAATTCTATAATCCATGCTTTCTGAAGGTGGGTGTCAAAGACTGAGCATGAAACCGATGTGTGTGTGCAAATTTATATGTAACTTACTGAGTACATGAATTTTAAACTGTTTGAAGGTGGTTAATTAACACAAGTTAAAAATATTATTATTAGAATGAAATAATAATGAAAACTTGAACAGACCTTTACTAGGAATAAAGAGATTTCTCAAGCTGATACTGTATTGTGCTATATCTTCAAGAGTGAATTGACCTTCATCTTCACATGCATCATCATCTAAATAATTAACTTCAGGTACTGCATCATTAACGCTAAAATTTTTTGGCACAAACTGAAGATTTGGGCTATGCATCTGAATTCTTCCTGTTGCAGTATATATAAAACATTTACTGTATAAACGATACATATTGAAATACTGATCATATTTATTTTCCCTCAATAATGGCATCAAAACCTAAAGAAAAACACGAAAACAGATAATTAGGATTTGATATTAAAAAGTAATACAGTACAAAGTCCATGATCAGGACTCATTTGGACTTTGGCGATTCCAGATTTGATTTTTTCAGATATCAGATCATCAGTTTAAATTTAGTGAGATAACATGTATAAAATAAAAATATGAATTAATGAAGCATTTATGATCATTTATGACATGGAAAACAAAACAAAAAGTGGAGAAAGAAAGAGCTCAATATTTGTTGGCTCTTGCTGAACATTTTTTTCAATGTAAGCAAGGCCGGATTTATGTATAAGCTACACAAGCTATAGCTTAGGCCTCCCCCCAAAATTAAAATATAGCATAAATAGTGTCAAAATATATTATAACAGACTTATATCTCAAATAGCTTAGGGCCTTATCAAGTCTAAATCTGGCTCTAAATGTAAGTTGTTCGATTTGCTTCATTTTTTGTACTAATACTTTCTCTTTATCAATAGACATAATTTCTTGTTCAATTACTAAGTTTCATTGCTCAAGTTCTTTAATTGCAACATTCAGAATTCCCTCTAAATTGTCAATTGAAATTTTTTCATTTTCTAGAATCTCTCTGTCTCTTTCCTCACTAATGGTAGCACAAATGGTAGTAATTTTCTGCAATTAGAATCATACTACAAATCTCGCCATCCATTAGTTTATTGACTATTGGGGCACTGTCATCACAATGAGAAACTTTTGTTACATTATATTTATTTATTACCACTTCTCCACATATCTTCATTAATTCTGGAATATTGGAAAATTTTGCCTTCTGTTTGCAATATCTAAAAAAAAAAAAAAAAAAAAAAAAAAAAAAAAAAAAAAAAACACCTTCAAATTTGCGGCTATCATCATACAGTTTAGTTAGCATCTGCTACACACTACTGCAATGTATCATGAAATTGGCGACTAAAGACATGTTGTTCCGCTAAATTTTGTCTTCCTTCTCTCGCATACTGAAGTTAAGCTTGAATTGTATTAGTTTAATTATTTATTATACTTAAGACTATTTCCCTCATAAGCCTAAGGCTTATCTGAGTGCCGAATAAATAAATTCCCACATGTACTCAAAGCTTATCTGCCAGACATATTGCAGTCTGGTATAGAGTCTGCAGATCTGGTGTGGTTGCACCAGCTCTGGTACCGGTCCTGGGCTAAACTATTATCAGTCTTAACTAGCATATCAGCTATTCTAGATTCAAACAGCACTAAATGTAATCTACTAGTCTATAAGTGTCATCTGTAAAGTATTTTTTTTGGGGGGGGGCATATGGAAAAAAAATCTATTAAATTTCTCCTTATCAACCCATTCAGTACTTTGCTACGGAGTTAGCCGACTCTGTAACCATTGCCAAAATTTCCAAACATAAAGTCAATGTAAAAGGTTACCATGCTCTTTCATATTCTAATCTTAATATTAAACATTAAAAAAATTTCAGATATTGCTACATGAGTCATTTCTCAAGCTGTAATATGCTGATAGTCTTGCGGGGATGAAAGCAAAAAATAATAAATAATGATACACCATTTCAGTTTGGCAACATCAGTGCCAAACGGAAATTAAGAACTGGGACTCTCCAGAGCACGTTTTACAATGAAAAAATATCAAATGTTCAAGTATAAAGCATTTTTTTAAATAAGAAGCTGCTGGAGGTCCAAAGGCTCTGGATACTGGATATCTAGATTTTGGGTTTTGTATTGCATTTTAATAAGATATGATACTAAAATAGTAAATTAAATAAACTGAAATATGGATAAAATTATTAAGTAAGAATATAATTAGAAAATTTATCAGGTTAGAACTAGGAAATTTGGCTCACTTTTATAAAACTTAGCGTTTTTAATAATATAAAAGAGAAAGAGAAGAAAATTGGGAAACTATATCTAACAACATCAAAAGTTCTTATATTGTGCATTACTGTTGTCCTGTTAAGTAAAAGCAGAAGATGTGGAATATTTTGTTTTGTAGTAATGAAACTCAATATTATGCATATTATCTTATATCTTTCATACATTGTATTATCATACTCCTAAGTGTTGTGTAATTATACTTATGTGCTTTGATGTAATGGTAAAATTCCTAAGGGAAGCATGGAAGATTTTATATGATGAAAAAGATTAAAGACTCAGAAAAATTTAAACCAGTTGCAGTTTTTATATTTAACAGTAAGTTTTATATTTAATACCATGAAATATATTCAAATAAATGAATAAATAAAATGTATAAAAATGACAAAACTAAACAGACATCTTTAAATTCATACATTTAATTATTTTGTATCAGACAATAATATGTTGGGTACAAATAAGAGTCTGAAAGACATTATGTAACTAACATAGATATAGCAATACTAATAGATAAAGCACATTAATCTCTCCAAGCATGTATTTTTAAACCTCTGAGTGCCATGACCGGCTTTATCCTGTCATGACATTTTTAGACATTTGTTATACATTAGCTTATAATTTAAGATATTTTGCTTTCTTACTTTTATTAATAATATAAATGCTATCTTGTATAGGTAAATATACATATTTAGATAGTAAAGGCTTTTAAATACAGGTCTCAATGACAGATGCAGAAACCCAGACCGCTCAGAGGGTTAATTGCAGTAAATGTATGTGGCATTAGCCATAGAGTAGTAAGAAGCACTCTGATATTTATTTAATCGGCAATTTATATTGCTTACAGGTATCATTATTTTGAATTACTGCACATGAAACAGTGAAACCTGGTTTTATTTTCTATTTTTGTTAGTTTTCTTCCTTTTGAGGTTTTGCATTGCTTACAATTGCACCTACTATTTTGAAAAATAAAACAGAATAACTTTTCATAAGTAATTATCACGAGCAAGAGTTTCATTAGTGATAATTTAATAATTTACAAAAATTACTAATAATATTTCACAGATTTTTTCCTCATTCTTATTTAAATAGCAAATGTCGTAAATATAATGCAAGATGTATTAAAAATTTCAAATAGATGTGCACATGGTACAAACTAGTAAATTGAAATAAATAGGTACTTTCTATCTGCTCTCTGGTTTTGACATTCGGTGAAACTGTTCTGTTTTTGATGTATTTTCAAGTGTGCACCATGCATATTAAGTTAGGAAGAAGTAATAGAGTTACTTTCTATCTTACCTCCATGGTACAGACAAGTTAACAGGGAACTCCACGTGCATGTACTGTACATGCCTCTTACTACTGATTGTTGATTTGCAGATTTTATATCACTTATATACTAAACAGGATCTACCACTATAAAAATATAAATATCTGACATACAGTTCTTTCTTTCCTTTTTTTTTTTTCCATAAAATTTCCTTTCTCTTCAAAAATGCTTTTTTTATTATTTACGAACACAATAAGCCTAACAACTATATTCCCAATTCATAAAATGCTAATAAAGATATTTTACAATAATAATAAATCATACATTGTGCAGCAATTATCTGAAATTTTTTTTAAAGCTGAAATTTTTCCTAAAATGATTTTATTTTTTAACTTACATATTTCACATTCAGTATTTGTTAAATTATTAAATTGCATATTATATCTTTTCCATGTTCTGGTAACTTCAACTATGTAGCATAGAAATAGGCCTTAAAAATTGTTTGTGCTGTCACTGATGTTCAGATTCAAAACAATACGTATTGTATAACAATTACTGTAACTGCCAGTGGATTTTTTGTTGCTCTCATGGTTGTTGCTAACTTTCTGGCTGGAATCAGAATTTACTGCACAATCTATTAATATTACTACATCTATGGCAACTAAGGTTCTCAATATATGATATCAAAAGTACTTTGATTTATTACACTAATAATATAAATGTTTATTAAAATAATGAAAGCTGCATTTCAAAATGAAATGTTTTCTTAATAACTTTTCACGATCAAAAGGTATTCAAATAGTATAATGAAGTATATGGCTTTAAATAAATCATATTGTCCAATTGACAAGCAATACTATAACAAACTGGAAGACATGTGAAAAATTTTACATTGCATTAAATATCAACAGTTCTGCAAGAAACTAACATTATCTGTCAGAAGAAATGCAGGATAGATGAAAAAACTAAAAGTAAATTATATCAAACTAACACATGCATCAATTTGACAAAAACTGAACAGCATACAAATATGCATAATAATTTTAAAAATTGTTACTGCCCATTATATACAGGTTATGTTCAAAGTCAATTAATAATGAATTAATGTTAAAAAAATACTGATTAAGAAACCAATTCTGAAATGTTTCCTCCGTATTTATTAATGCAATTCATAAGAATTTTAATATCATCAAAATGGAATTAAAAATTTTGGCATCAGTTACGTATCTTTCAGTTAAAGAGAGAATTTTAGTTATGCCAGTTATCAAAAACTAATCACGCATTACTTTATAATAAATCAAAAGATTTTAGTAATTATATACATACCTGTTGTAAAGAAAAAGAAAGTTTCCTAAAATCTAAAATTGCCTTAGGTAGTGGATGCAAATGCATGATTTTTTCTAGGCAAGCCTTATTGGTCTTCAGCTCTTGAGGTAAATTTTTACTGCTGCTGCGTGTTGTGATCCCAACAGATAAAAATTTCTGTGCAACAGGACTCTCTTGAATTTGATCTGAGTTAAGTTTCAGTTCTTTAAATAAGATCTACACATAAATAATAAATATTCTGATAACTGGTTTTTGAAATTTTATGCAGCTAAAATAATAATAATATAATACATAATTACATAAAAACACAGCAATTAATCAAAATTTACTCTAAGACAATCTAAAAGTAAATGAAATGCTACACAGGAGTTAACAGAGAACTTTGTTTTGACTTGAGTCTCATATTGTTCTCTTGTATAATTTAATGTGATACAGGAGAAGGAAGAAAATCCTTTTTTCACATGAATTTAATTCAAATTAGCATATATCAAATGATGGCTTTTAAAAAACTTTATGTTAAACAAAGGTACAGCCATTAATTTCCAGGACCCATCTAATAACTCTAGAAAATATTTTATGAAATACATCCATGTTTTGAAGTAACCCCTACCTTGCTTGTAACAGCTTGTTTGAAGTAACTGCTTCTGTGCTTGGCTATATATAGGCAGAATAAAATTCTTTTTTCCCAAATGGAATGTAAAATGGATTGAGAAGCAATATTTTGTGATGTACATATGTATTGAGTACACACATATCACTCCTTAACATACACTTTTTTCATCTGCATGTAAATAAGTTTCTGGTCACTAGCATTGAACTCTTAGTGACCCCCCCCAAAAAAAAAAACTGTTTAGGGAAATCCTTTTTGGACTGTCCAATAAGTCTCAGTTCTTGCTGCATCATGTGGATAAATATGAATTTGGTTATATAATAACAGATGAATCTTTTGTAGAATTCTCTAGAATAACAATGCTACAAACTGGCCAAAAGTCACTAATGGTGGGGGAACAACCTTTTTCATCTGACACAAGGACATTTTTAGAGGAATAAATGCCCATACCAGAGAAATTAATTGAGTTGACTTTTAATGAGCAGAGGTTGCATGCTTCTATAGTAAAGTTTTTGAAAGACTAGAGAACGATTTTAGATGCTTTCCATTTAGCAACTAATTTAGCTATTGATTATAAAGGAAAGTTTAAATGGCTGGAACTGATCAAATGGCTGCTCAATATACATTAATTTAAATTAATATTTTATGCATTCAAGTATACTGAGATTCCCTTTTTATTTATTAACTGTAATAAAACAACAAAATATTTCATCATTCATAAAATGGCACACAAAACAGTTTTTAAATCAAACCTTAGAGAAAAGAATTTACGTGAATGTTAGTCAAGGTTGTATTCATAAACGATCAAATAATATTCATAATTCTTTTCGTAACTGTTTGTAAAAGTTGCCATTATTTTTAAGCACATAATTAAATAATGTCACTGAACATTACTTACAATAATTTTTTCTAATGCAGCCACACCCAACAAACCTATTTGAAAACATTAGTGGTTGTCTGAAGAAGGTTTTGCTACATTCGTCTTCACTAACTTAATAGTGCACAAGAGATAAAGAATTATGAAAATAATGTGGTGATTACAGTGTGATATTTTTTCAGTCTTTTAAGTCAATAAATAAATTGCAGAGAAAAGGAAATTTTAGAGTACCTAACTAGATTTAAAGTATCATATTATTAAAAAAAATCCACAAAAATAATCCATTCAGAATAAAGCTAAAAAACTTAGTATTATTTTAAAACATAGTGAATGAAATTTACCCTTGACACTTCAACTGAAGACATTATATTAAATTTTCTGCCAGCTGCTTGATAGGCACTTTGTAAAACTGCATTCTGTTTTTGCTTCAGTTCTTTTAAACACATTAAAGCAAGCTTTGAATCAAATCCTAAACCAATGTATTCCATTTTGGAAAGAGCAAATATAGCAGGCATTTCAACACCTACAAATGCAACATGCATCATAAATACAAAATAAGTATTTGAATACCTATTAACAAAAAAAGATTTGTACTTCTAAATGGCAAAGTAAAGTTAATATTATGTAACATCAGGAAAATAAATCATTTTTTGTATGAAAATACATTAATATGGAAAGGACATTTTTGAAAACAATACATAATAAGAAATTACTTTCTTTTTAAACAAAAATGATGACACAATGAATTTCAATTCTAATGCTAGCACTTCTAGTGTATTTTTTATTTTAAATAATACTGTGAAATAAACCCTGAGCAACTCTACTTGTCACTTTAACACATAAACTAAAAAACAATTTTAAAATTACAGATTATTTCAGAGATAAATTATGAACTGCATATAATACAAATTGATAAATGGAACAAATACATAGCCATAACTGAAATTCACTTGTATGCTATCACTTAACATAATATTATACAGTCAAAAGTTGTTAATCCGGACTCGCCGGGACTTCGGCGATTCCAGATTATCGATTTTTCCGGATTAGAGATCAGTTTAAATCTCGTAAGATGGCATGCAGAAATTCTAAAATTAAAAATATGAAACCGTAATTTACGAATTAAAGAACAATTATGATCTAAAGGGTATCAAAATTTACAAAAAAAAAAAAAAAAAAAAAAAAAAAAAAAAAAAAAAAAAAAGAAAGCTTAATATTTATTTGTTTACTTTATTAAACATTTCTTTCAATGTAAGTTGTTTAAGTTGCTTCATTTTATATGATAATACTTTCTCTTTAATTCTATAAACAGACATAATTTCTTGTTCAGTTACAAACTTCCGCTGTTCAAGTCCCGTTAATTGCTGTGCCGAGAATACCGACTAACTTGTCAATTGAAATTTTTTCGTTTTCACTAACCTCTCTGTCACATTCTTCATGTCTTTTTATATTTTGCAGCAATTCCACTTTTTGTTTGTTGGACATCGAAACATACTTTCGTTTTGTAGATCCTTTGGAAGTTCCAGCATTTGAAATTCTATTTGACATAATCGAAAGTTCAAGTTTACTTTTATAAAATTGCTCTTACAGTCTGCAAAAAATAATCAGCGGGATCCAATTCGAAGATTAAGGAACAACGCAATCATTAACATTAACTGAAATAGATAATTAGATAATTTTAGCTTACACCGTCCGTTATACATTAAACGCGCAGGCGAAAACGTATTTTGCACTTGCGCACACGCAAATGCGCTGTAGCCAAGGTCTTACGCGCACGCGTAAAACGCCTGTGCGCATGTGCCAATATGGCGCATGCGCAGAAAGATTTTAGCTTTGAGGTCCGAATTAACGACTTTTGACTGAATATATAAATTGTTATATTATGTGATACTACATAGACTATCATTTAAGTGAATTTATATTTCCATTATTCTAATGTGAATTTTCTCTCTTTTATTTGACCAAACTGTAATCTAAATATTCTTTCATGCAACTATATTCATTAATGGATAAAACCAACAAACATTGGAGGTTTCATTTCAAAGACTGATCCTTCGCAGCTTAAGTTCATATCTGCATGAATGTTAATTAAGTGAGGCAGCCTAGTTGCATGAGGAATTTGGTACTTTTCTTTACTTTCCTTGCAATATAAATCTTAATCAATTTTCATTAGGAAGCCTTCCTTTAATAATGATTTTGTAGTCTCAATAAAAATATTATAATCAAATGTTTATAGTATATTTGTTACTCATGAAACTCAAAGATTAACCACATGTGTTGGAAAGATGCATTAGATACGATGAGATGTTTTTTTGTTTCAAAATTTCCAATGATGTGCTGTACACGTCATAAAGCAGTTGTCACACAAATATAAAAAATCTGATGTGTACACCACTTTAATATTCCTTGTACGGAATATTAAATTATACGCATTTTTTCTTGCATTTCATTTAAACTTATTCGACTGAATTAAATCTACTTCACTGATAGTGCATACACCACAATAGAATAAATGCACTCTTTAAAATTTACTATATTTGTTTACCATAGCAACACTCTGGCGCTAGGTTCACTTAACTGCATTATATTTCATTCATATTATAACTCAGAATGCACAAAATTTATATTATTTGAAGAATTATCTAATCATTGCCACATGTTCTATTCAAATACTATAATAAATCTAGAACAATGTATAAAAGAAATTAAGCAAACAAAACAAAAAAAAAGAAAGTTTTCCACAGACGATTCAGTATTTCTCATTCAATTAATTCAGTTTTCATTTCACAAAAGCTAAAAACTTTCTGCGCATGCGCCGCGTTGACACATGCGCATAGGCGTTTAAGCGTGCGCGTTTTATGTATAACAGACGGTATAAGCTAAAATTATCTAATTATCTATTTCAGTTAATGTTGATGATTGCGTTGTTCCTTAATCTTCGAATTGGATCCGGCTTATTATTTTTTGCAGACTGTAAGAGCAATTTTATAAAAGTAAACTTGAACTTTCGATTATGTCAAATAGAATTTCAAATGCTGGAACTTCCAAAGGATCTACAAAACGAAAGTATGTTTCGATGTCCAACAAACAAAAAGTGGAATTGCTGCAAAATATAAAAAGACATGAAGAATGTGACAGAGAGGTTAGTGAAAACGAAAAAATTTCAATTGACAAGTTAGTCGGTATTCTCGGCACAGCAATTAACGGGACTTGAACAGCGGAAGTTTGTAACTGAACAAGAAATTATGTCTGTTTATAGAATTAAAAAGAAAGTATTAACACATAAAACGAAGCAACTTAAACAACTTACATTGAAAGAAATACCAATAAGTAAACAAATAAATATTCAGTTTTTTTTTTTTTTTGTAAATTTTGATACTCTTTAGATCATAATTGTTCTTTATTTTATAAATTACGGTTTCATATTTTTAATTTTAGAATTTCTGCATGCCATCTTACGAGATTTAAACTGATGATCTATAATCCGGAAAAATCGACAATCCGGAATCGCAAAAGTCCCGACGAATCCGGATTAACGACTTTTGACTGTACATAAGAACAATGCTTTATATAGTTGCTAGCTGCATTTAAAGCAAAATTTATGTTCTCTGTACACCTGAAAAGTGTATAAAAACATTTCCATATGAATGAAGTCAATTCATTCTTTCCAAGCAACAACCGATTCATAAATAACTTTTTTGTTGCCAAACCAGGAAACAAACACTTTGGGCACTTCAGGTTAATATGTATACGCATGATGCCATAATTAAATTTTAATGTAATATAACAATTTTTACTCAATACCAATAAATAAATTCACGTGGCAATAATATACCATGTCAATTATCTTAATCTGAAACAAAAAAAAGTTGCCAAAAGCAGCTATTTATTTAAAATGGTGACATTAAGAAAAAATTTGCGACATACAATGATGTCACATGCATTTGTGTGCTTTCTTCAATGTAAGAACAAAAGCGAGCAATGGCAACACTTTTTGAAATAAGACAGATCTTTATCTCCAGCGTGAAGACTGTTGCCACTTGAAAAAATTAGGATGAAAATTAGAGTTTTTATTTAATATCTCGGCTGAATAAAGTCTTACAAAGATGCGAATGGTTAAAATGGCTTCCCACGAATTTTTGGAGATACAAGGTGTGACACAAAAATAACGAGACTGATCCAATAAATCATTATACTTACAGAATCAGTTCTCCATGACATTATCATTTTCAAAGTAGTTACCTTCAGCATTCACATACTTCTGCACAAGGAAATATTGCTGTTGCTGGTAACAGTTCTGGAACAAGGTTTTTGGAAGACCCTTCAGGAGATTCTCAGTTTCTGCCTGAACCTCTTCAGCTGAGATAAAATAGGTTCCCTTTAAGTAAGATTTAACTTTAAGAAATAAAAAAAAAGGTCGCATAGAGCCAAATCAGGTGACTAAAGAGTATGCCCCATCACCGCAATGTTTTTGCTGGTCAGAAACTGCTTCCAGATAGGGCCGTGTGAGCGGGTGCACTGTCCTGGTGCAACAGCCCATCAATCACTTCACAACTGTGGTGTTTTTTTCCCATTTTTTCATAAAGTCTTTTTAGTATTTCAATGTAGTAGTATTGATTAACAGTCTGACCACTGGGAACCCATTCAATAATCATGATGAACACCCAAGGAGGAACCCAGCACATTCATCATCTTCCACACTGTCCCTTTCCCCTGAAAACTGCTTATGCCATTCAAACACATGTGCATGAGACAAAGTTTTACCTCCATAAGCCTCGGTTAACATTTGAAATGTTTCCTTTGTGGCTGATTTCGTAAGTTTCACAAGAACATTTGATATTTTTGCAGCAGAATGCAGTTGCACGTGTTCACTCAATGATGCAGTGGTCGATTATGCCGAAACTGGCCGCATGCATAGCGGAGATGTGTGGTATGACGTCACCAAAACATTTGTTGTCTACTCCACTCTGTTTTCAAGCTACACAGTCTCGCTTTTTTTTTTTTTTTTTTTTTTCTGTGTGTGTGTGTCACACCTGGTATCTCTCTCGAAACTGAACTCCACCATGCCGGATGAAATAATGCCACAAACAGACAGACATGCGCAGATTTTAATAATATAGATTACAGCCTCTGAGAAGTTGTTGCTTTATTTTTTACTTCTAATCTTATGAAAAAGTATGTAAGTAAGAACCAATAAAGTATATCAATAAACAAAGTTTTAAAATAAAACAAACTTTTGATTGCTTTGTATTTTATAAGACCCACACTGACAAATGACTATTATACCCAGCTATACACAGTATCCTTTTATATTTAACTAGCTACTACATGGCCAGCCTTAGTCTGGCTTTTAAATGTACTGTAAAAATGCCTAAAGGGAACACCAAATATTAAATTAAAAACCAGTACAGAATTTTACTTTGAGGAACAACTTCATAAAAAACCAATAAAAATTTATCACATATTAAAAAAATTACAATGAAATAAGCAATATCCCTTAATACAAATATTAATTATCCTAATAAATAAATTAACCATCTTCCCGTTGCAAAATCTTAAGAATTCAAATAGTATGAAGGAAGTTAAGAACTTTGTTTCCTAAAAATTAAAATATAATATAAAAAATTGCAATGAAATAAGCAATAAATCTCATATTTTCAAGAAAAAAACAGTCAGCAGTCCAGCATCCAAAGCAATGAATGAAAAACTGTTGCTAAAACCCCATTTCTAAAAGAATGAAACTATCATCAGAAAGCAATAACCAATCAAATTTGTGCTTTGTGGATGACATAATTCAAAATATACAAACCTCTTTGCTATTAGCTATTAAAGAGAGAGGGGGGGGAAGGAAATTCTTTCTGTTGTGCCTCGCAAGACACATGCATGTCAGAATAAGAAGATTGCAATGTGTGTGTTGCGTGTCCAAAAATTAAAAGAAAATAAGCATTATGAAATAAGCAATATCCCTTAATACAAATATTAATTATACTAATACAAAAATTAACCAACTTCTTGTTGCAAAAAAAGTCATGCTAAACTTTGCAGTATCTTGAAAACAGTAAAATAAATAATAAATATTTTATCTCATATTTTCAACAGTCAGCAGTCTAGTATACAAGCATTGAATGAAAAACTGTTGCCAAAACCACATTTCTAAAAGAATGAAACTATTCAGAATGATGCAATTTCATCAAAAAAGATAAAATAAAATAAAATCTGATTCGAATTTTGAAAAAAAAAATCGCTTCAAGGTGCACTGGTTCTTGTGTAGATGCACCTAAGTACCAAATTTCGTAGCCCTGGGTCTATTAGCTTACGCACAGCAGAAATGAAAGACACACACACAGACTCTTTCTTTTATCATATGTAGAGCTATAGGTGATGCTTCTATTTTTAAAACTGGAAGATTCCCCAGTATTTCTAGATTTGCGGAATTCCCCATCTATAGTGACCAACAAAGAAATGAGCTGGGGAATCATGAATACCAGGATTCCAGATGGTTTCCCCAGTGTAGCTGCAAAATACCAAAAACTGTCCCAATGACACTGTCACAACTCGCAATGTTGTACTACCACATTTGCATGCACTATCCAGGAATGAGGGGTGGGAGCGAGAATTAGTGTTTAATTTTTTTTAATTAACAGAAGTATTAATTTTTATTTTAAGTTACTTCCTTAAATGTTAGGAAAAAAGCATGTTCTTTAGAGGAGATAACTCGAATTCTGTAGATTTAACTCAAAGTAACTCCTGAGTTATCTCCATGGATACAGTTTAACAGGCACTAATCTAATGTATATCCTAAGTTGTGGTGGTGGTATCTCTGAATTAAGTTTTCTTTTGATTTTCTCTGAAATGAGCTTGTTTGTCATTTAAAAGCTCATAATGTAGCGGTCCTTGGATGTCCCACCATAGACACAGCATCTCTTATTCAGGCTCAAGCTTGGTTTAGAGTCAGATTGACTACGCTCACAGTATGCTCTTTTCCTAATGACATCTTTGTAGGTTTGTACTTTTGTTCTCCAGCTGTTATCTGGTGAAAGAAGGGTCTGTTTTCGTACTGAGCAAGCAGAGATCTGCATATGACAATTCGATCATGCAAGTATTTCTTACTTAACTCATGATGCACCTATTTGGAATAATTATAAACCAATCTTAATTTATGAATTTGCTCCAAAATGGTTGTTGCTTTGAAGTAAGCTTTTCTACTATCTCTAATGTTATCAAAAAAGGATTAAGGTATTTCTCCCACCTTCTTAGCATGCCTTCATAGTGTAGTGGTCAGCACACTCGGCACGTATTCGAGAGATCTGTGGTTCAGGTCCTGCCGAGGGCATTTCTCATTTTTCGTCTCTCCTGCTTTCAAAAATACCTAATGTCCCTACAGTGGTGCCCAAGCTAAAAAGTGGTGAACAATGATTCTTCACCACCTGGATTTGGCGACTAGGTCCCCTAATCCCCAGTCATCCTTTAAAAAGGAGAGTATATAAGGTATTTCTCCCGCCTTTGTAGTGTAGTGGTCAACATGCTCAGTGCATATTCGTGAGGTCCGTGGTTCGAGTCCCGGCGAGAGCATTACTCATTTTTCGTTCCTCCTGCTTTCAGAAATATCTAATGTCTCTACATATGGTCTTGACAATTTTGTCATTGATCAAAGACAGCAACCCAGAGGGTAGCTTTTCATTTAGTTCGAAAGCGTCTGCTTTAAATTTTTCGAAGTATCTCCTGCACTTTCTATCTAAAACTGCATCTGTACCAAAAACTTTCACTAAATTTTAACACAATCCTTTTTTGCCTTTCTTCTTTAGTGAAATCTAAACAAATAATTCATACGGTGTTATAAATGAATTTTATTGGCAACCATGTTTAACAATCAAGTCTCACTTAATAATGAAATGAGACACTTTTGTTTCAGTTAATTTAGAAAAGCACATGTGCATAAATGCACTGATAAAGAGAAACAATCATATGGGGTTGTCTCAAATGAATATGTACACATCTAAAATGAAGACATATCCCATAATAATTAGACAAAACTTTCCAATAGACCTCATATTTATAGATCATGAACTCTGATATTTTCTGAAGGTTGCCTACTGTATGGTTGACAACAAGAAATCTTGGTAGACTTTTAATAGGATATGCATTTACATTAGTTTCCCCTTTTTAGATAGAGAGGCATTTTCATTTTCAGCATTTATTGTAGCTTTAGAAGTCATATTTGAAATTAATAAAGAGTCAGAGACAATGGCTCCACCCACCACAGAGTCCAACAAGTAAACATAGATTCCTGTCCTGTGCCAGGGCCAATTAGGTTTATATGCAATCTGAAGCTCAGCAGATAGCTTTTTTGAAAGCAGGAACTCTCTAAAGCTTATCAGCAACTATTCTGACACTAGGGACTAATAATCAGCCAGTTGCCACTAAAGAGGACAGCTAGGTGTCTACTATTTGGTCTGAAGCAGAGCCCAAAGCAGTGTATTGGGAACAGAAACTCATTCCCCCAACTAATATCATCTTCTTTACCAACCATATGGATCGCCACGCACAACGTAAGTGGTTTTCTCTTCACAAAAAACTAGAAATGAAGGATGTAATAGCATCTGACTTTCAGCCCTAACCTCAAAGAAGGAAAACCACAAGGGAGTCCAAAATGGAAAAGGAACAGATAAGAAGAGTTGAAAAGAAAAGGAGAGATCGTGACCTTGTCTTACTCTGAAGGGCTAGAGTACCTTGGGATTGCCAAACCTGTATTCATCGAGTGAACCCATGAAAGGGAGAAATATAAAGAATGTCATTTTGTTTTCTGGGTTAATTTACTCCTCAACAAGCATCTCTCAGGTTGTATTCATATTATTAATTAAATAATACCAATAATTAGGCATCTTGAAAATGCAGAAATGAAACTTAGCAATATAAATGTAAAATTAGGAGGAGAAAAGTTAGATTACCTTAGATTGCCAAAGATTTTATATAAAACTCTATGGATTTTAAAGATGATTAATTGATTGATATGATATGATATAGGACCCTTTTAATCAGAGCGAGAGATGAAGGTAATAGCTTAAAAATTTTACACATGGACAATTTTTTCCCAGGTAAGGAGGGGAAGGCTTGAAAATGATTTATGGCAGACATTCTTAAAATCATATAAAATCAGTTCCAATCTATGACCTATTTATATAATCTATGGTAGCGGTTCTCAACCTTTTGACTAACGTGCCCCACCTAAACAAAAATTGAAAACCTTTAGTACCACCACTATAAAGTACTACTACCACCACCACTCTTGAAGACACCTCAGACTGCATAAATTTATGAGTATTAGAGAAAATCAGGATGTTGAGGTTTTTAATTTTTGAATTTAATAGTTAAAAATACTTTGCTTCTTTGCATACCACCTATTTTTCTCTTTGTACAACCGGTTGTGACCCCCTGATCTATGGGCATTTTTCTCTTTTTATTTATATCTTGCAAATGATCTACATATTTATAAATACGGCTTTAACCACAAGATATATAAAATAGTTCTTGACCTTGTGATTACAGATTTTTTGAGAATGATGTGGTTCAAAGTGCATTTTTATTTACTGACTATTTGTTATCTGTGTATCTGTAAGAATTAAAATGATTAAATATATTTAAGAACAAGCATTTTCTTCTGAAAAAGATATTTCTTTAGTAAGTTTAAAAACACATTTTGTTTTCAAATTTTACATTTCTTGTAATATTAAATAAAATTAGCATAAAATATGGCATACACTAAAAAAATTCAAATACTGATAAGCACAATCTCAAAGAGTAGTAGTAGTAACAGTAATAAAGCAAAATAATAGTTTCATATACATTTAAGTAAACTAAACTTAAATCAGTAAAATAACAGACAATTAGAAATTTCCACCAATTCTTCATTCAAAAAAGTGATCAATATAAAATCACACTTGCTATCTATTGAGGAAAAACTAATTTTAAAAGGTTGATTACATGACTAAGGCTTTAATGAATGAAAATTATACAATAATAATAATAGTAATAAAACATGATGTGCAAATAAAATAAATAAAGCAGTTAAAACCTAAGTGTATGGAAATTACTAGAACAAGCTAACATTGTTATGAGTGCAATACTTGTGGAAATCTTAATACAAGCAGCTATAACATTAACAAGCTTTTTATCAATTTGTTGTTTGACTTCTAAATTAATAAAAGCTTTTTATTAGAGTATATAAAGCAGAAAGCAAAACACTGTAGTCAGTTGTACAGATTATGCAAGAATGAAATCATTGTCTTAACAACAGACATATTTTAGCTCATATATTCTTTTGGTTGTTGGTAATTTTCTCTCTACAATTTGATTTCATATTAAAATTTTTGTATTTTTTGAGAATTACTGTTACACTGTACATAAAACATACATAATTTTCTATTTACCTGTCTAAATTTTTATCAAAATAATCTAATCACATAAAAAAGAAATGCACAGCACCATAACCTCCATAAATGTTTCTATGGCAATATTAAACTATGCTAGAATAAACCACATACCGATGAAAGCTTCATACAGATTTCCATCTTTTAAAACATCTTCAAGTTTATTCATAAGATGAAAAGAAAGATAAGCTTCAACTGAAGCTCTCTGTCTACCAGGTAAGGAATTCCAGTGTTGTAATCCAAGGTTGCCTTTGATTTCTCTAAAACCTGAAAGTTAATTTTTTCATTCAATAAGCATATTCTATTTGACTTCAAGCATACTAAAAAACTGAATTTACAAAGATTATAGATTCCAAAAAATGGCAAAAGATAATCTCAGAAGGGCCATTTGTGCATATGAAAAGATTTCTAACAAAAAAGAAGAGAAACAAAAGTCATGCACCAAATTATTTTTCATAATAGTTTGCAAATTACTACCTATATATCATCAATAATTAATTGATGTTTTATTGCAAATTTTAAGGTTTTTACTTCCTTGTATGAAGTAAAGGAAGTATTGTAATCACGAAAAATTCCAGGTATCATATTTCAATGAAAATGTCCATTTTGACCACTGTCGAATGCAATTTAATGGTATTTTTGCACGACATCTGCACATAAGAACAGAATAAAGGGCTGTTTTTTCCCAAAACAGATTATAAAATTTATTTAAAATGGATTCAGAAGAGATTTGTTATAAATATGCATTTCCCTGAGAAGTGTCATTAAAAACTTAAAAAATGCTTACCCTCTAATAAACACATAGCATCAGGTAAATAATTTTTAATCAAGTCATTTAAGGACTGCTTCCCTAGTCCAGGATCCAATAGCCATGCTGCAACTGAAGGGTCTAAAAATTTTGTATCTTGGTTTGCTTGCAAAGTCAAATTCCATTTTTGCAGTAACATCTTATACTGGGCTTTTATATCATATGCAATAACATATTTTTTAAACAGACTGCAAGAAAACAATTTTCTGAGTTCTTCGGCCTGCTTATTAGACTTACTAGAAAAACTGGCAGTGCCTAAGATAAAAAAAATATAATGAAATAAATAGACAATAATGGCATGACTTATACATTCTTGATTATAAATAACAAATATTCATACAACTTTCACATAAAATATTGGCTTCTATGTGATTTTTAACAAAACATTCTTAATTATAAAGTATGATATTTAAATATTCAGAGCTTTTGCTTGTGCATGCATTTGCATAGTCAGTCATTTTTTTAAATGAATTTAAAACTAAATTATTGCAACAATATGTGAAGTAAAAGAATATCTAAAACACATAATGCAATTTCTAATTATCAATTACAATCCAAGCATTTTCAAAACAGATATTCCACTTTCATTTTTAAAAGATTTGTTTTAAAAATTAAATATTTTCAATTAAAGTAGAAAAAAAAATATAAAGCAGTAAAAGTCCATTTTTTGGCCTTAGCCCAGATTTCCTTATGATACTCATGTATTTATAGGTATGATATAATGAAAACATTTACATATTTTTTAATCTTTAAGGCAAAGGAAATATTAATTGAAGTTAACATGCATGTGCATGCACAGACTGAGACATAGATACAGCTAATCAAGCTTTTAAGCTTTAAAGAAAATAAGACCAAATTATCAATATTACTGCCACAATACTTTAGAGCTTTCCAGTGAAGTATGCAAAGAAAATCTCAAGAACTTATACAGTATTGAATTAAAACAATAATTTTCAGTTGTGACTATCTAGATTGCATAAGCATGAAACTTCAGACAGGAGAGAGAGATATTTTATCATTCAGGTTTGTATCTTCCCTCTTCCTTAAGGAACCAAAGACATCATAGTTATGAATACTCAAAAATAATGATAGTCCATGTAATAGCCAATCAATGTAATATAATCCTGCAGGGAATGCATGAAAGACAAGCCTAATTAGCATCATCCAATCAAAAGTGATCAAACAGTTTTGAATATGCAAATCAAAGCATTACTTCATCTGATGGTGAATCAAGCCCTTTGCGCAAAGTGAGTAATTGAGTGAATTTTTGCAATACACATTTGATTTCAGTGTGTAAAGACTTAAAACAGTTTATGACTCTAAGTACCATTTGGAAGAATCAATGAAATGGAAAATCACTGAGTGTTTAGAAACAGAGCAAACAATGACAGAAGCAGTAAATTGTGTGAATATTTCACAGCAGACAGTCTCTATGCCATAGAAACAATTTCATAACTTTGGAACCATTGTAAGGAGGCCTGGAATAGGTCTACAACTTTTTCTCACAACTGATATCTGGCAATAACTGTCTATCATTACATGAAATCTATTGCTCAGACACTGAGTTCAGAGCTGGCAGCCCCCACTAGAACTCTTGTATCATAGCAAAGAGAAGGCTTTATGAAAAAGGTCTTTAAGCCAAAGGTATATGTTTCTTTATCTTCACAACCAAAGAAGGAACACTTTTATTAGTGCAAAAAACATCAGAACTGAAATGAACACCAATTCTCTACTGATAAGTCGAGGTTTAGTTTAACATCTGATTCTAAATGTGTTTATATCTGGAAGGAATCAGAAATGCGAAATTTTACTTCCAACATCATAAAACATAACCATTTCAGTAGAGCAAGTGTGATGGTATGGGGAACAATAATTGATTGATTGATCCCCATACATTTTCAACAGTGGATCTGTGACTGGGCAGAGATATTAAAATGGTTCTAGAATCTTATGTGACACTTTTCAGAGATGCAATTGGATTTGACTTTTTAATTTATGGATAATAATGCTTGTTCACATTCAGTAAGCTTTGTTGATGATTTCCTTAAGAGCGAAGATAGTGAGCAAATACTGTAGTCAGCAAAATCTCTGGATCTTAACCCTAAAGAGAACTTATAAGACTACCTTGGTAAAGCAGCTGATCAGAGACTTCCACTTGGAGATGTAAATGTTCTGAAACCTGCACTCTGGAGAAGTGAAACTTAATTCCCCAAATTATTGTTAACATTATTGAGAGACTGGAAACACATTGTGAAATGTGTGTACACGTCAGGTCAGATTGCATTCCAAACTGCATTCTTAAGCCTTAATTTTTTCTAAGATATTTTTTTCTTTCTTTCCTGAACACTCCTTGTAACATATTATTATAATTTTTCTAGTTTCAGGCTACAGTTTTACACCATATGCAGTGCTCTTGATTTTTTTCCCATTATATTTATGTGTTGTGATGGTATGTCATAAATTCATAAAATTACAATTTATAGTTTCTGAAAAATCTACAGTTTCATATATGAACCAATAAATTCATGCACGTAAAGATAATTTTGGACATGCATGCATTTTAGTGGTTGTGATCAAAACTATGCCAAAAAAAGAGAAACTTGATTTTTGTTTATGCATCTCCTTTTACAAGGTACTTACACATCAAGGAAGTTTAAAAAATTTTAAAACTTATTTCTGTTAATAATAGTTTTTTTTTAAGAAATTTAATCTCATTGATGACCTCTGGTTAGTTCTGAAAATACACAACTGTGTTTAAAAAAAAAAAAAAAGAAGAAGAAGAAGAAGAGAGGAAAGAGAGAAAGAAAAAAGAAATATCAGTAAATTGGAAGATAATTATGGTGAACAGCTAGATAATGGCAAATTTAATTAAAAATATTTCAACTTTAAATAAATACAGTAGAAATTATGAGAACACTCTTTTGCTTTATTTAATTTAGAAATACAGTTCATACTCCATTGTTTCATTTCAGTGAGCTTAAAAGGTGAAAGCAAAAATAATATTTACTCTTATACTACATAATTACTATACTATATATAAATGATTCATCAGATTTCAAAACATTGTACTATTTTCACAGGTATTACATATACAATCATAATGGATACATAAAAGAACTGGAAACTTACCAAGTTTTCTACAAATATTGCAATTGTTTAGTGTGAGGGCCGGATTTTATAATTTTGAAGCTCTTTTCACAAATCAATTATTATTTTATATGTAATAATTTTACAAACAGACTGCTTTAAAATTTGGTGATTCATTTACATTAGCCTCACACTTTATGAGCCTACAAATATAAATAAATTATATAACTAAAATTGAAAGATTTTTGAATAATTTAAACTATCAAATATAAAATCTTATTTAATAAATATACAGCTATAAATTATATTCCACATATTACTCTCATGCTTTTATCAATTTTAGGCTTAAATTTGGTTCAAATTATGCTAATTTTCACTTACAATCATGCTTCCATAATGGACCCTCCCTACTAGCACACATTTCCTGAATCTTTGGAGATTTAAAGTAGAAGGCCAGTGCATTCTCATTTAGTGGATACTTCCTGATAAGGGACAATAGCCTCAGTTCTGTGTCTGCTGATGGCAGGTTGGGAGGTTAGACTGAATGTATCATTTTTGGTTGGTTCTTTGCATTGACACATAAGTGAGAGTTTACAATACTTAAAATTGAAAGAAATACATTATTTCAGAATTTTTTAAACCAGCATCAATAACTGAATAGCAATATGCAGAGTTCTAAAGGCATGTCTAAAAATATACCATTTTAGAACACTATGCTTCACACATACAAACTTCACAAAGAAAATTAAAATAAAGATACAAAAAGTTCTTTTGCTGTTCTTTATACCTGTTATTAAATTAAACAACAAATTTAAATTTAAAAATGCATTACATTTCACTGAAAATTTTTCAAAAATAATGTTTTAAAATATTGAATTTAATGAAAACAGTGTAAATTACATTTCCTTACTTAATTCTGTATTGTCAGAAATGGGTACATAAAATATTGTTTGGTCCCAACATACAGCAAATCCTATAACTTGAACATCAGGCTCTCTAACACAAAAACTGTCATCTGGTGTTACATGATCTTTATCTAAATAAACATAAAAAATTTATAAAACAATATGCATAATTTAATGCTATATCTATAAAAGAATTCAATTAAGGCAAATTCAAAATACTAGTGATTAATTTCTTGCACAAAAATCAAGATGGATAAGAAAAGGAATAAAAAAAGTTTCGTATGAATTAGTTATTGTATATACACATACACAAGGTGTTTCAAAAAAGAGGAATAAATTTTACTCGTCACAAAATTGCTATTTCTTGCGATATGAAAATATGTCATTTGATTAAGGAGAAAAGCATCATGGTCAGTTCTACTTCACAATGCTGAATATGTTGAAGCATTTGCTATATTCTTCTTTCTGAGATCTTCAGATCAGACTTCTTTGAATTTGAATAACACTTCAAAGCATACCAGTTTTTGAACATAAACATTCATACATAGGATCCCTGAAAAGCAAATTTCTTTTTTCATAACACAGGTTATGAAAAATAATATAAGAAATAATTTTGAAAATAAATAAATCTGCTGCTTTTTCCTGCACTCTATATATTAACTCTATAGTGGTATGATTGCTTTAATCTGCTCTTGAAGTCACTCTCTCACTTTTATATTACAAAGTTCTGTTGTTGCATTTTTTGAGGATTTGAAAATTATTATTATGGTAGATAATTATAAAAAATCATAAAACTCAGGTATCTCATTCCACATAATAAATTTCTGATAAAAATTATACTCTAGCCAAAAATTTTAGAAATGATCTTGAAAAACCTAATTTTTATAGCAATATTAAAATGCATATTCTTACAGCTAAGATATAATTTATACAGGGTATTTAAAAAGTCCAGGACTCATTTTGATGTTTAATAACTCATAAAATAATAAAGATAGATTAAAATTAATAACATAAATGGTTAGATAGATTCAAAAAGTTTCATAACCCTTGTCAATGAACTTTCCCGTTTGCCCCCTTCGTCGCACGGAGAATATCAATTCGATATTCAATTTCATGCCAGGTACCAGCAAGCATGTCGGCATCCACAGAGGCTATTGCGGTTGTAATTCTGGCTTTTAGATCATCAATGTTCGACACACTCCTCCTGTAAACGTTGTCCTTTACAAATCCCCAAAGGAAAAAGTCCAGCAGTGTTATATCAGGTGATCTGGGTGGCCAAGGAATTGGACCTCCTCGCCCAATCCATCTTTCTGTAAAATGGTCATTCAAAGAACTACAAACGATGGTACCCCAATGAGGTGGTGCACCATCTTGTTGCAAAAAGACATGTGGCTGAAGCTCTTCTAGTTGTGAAAATACGAAGTTTTCCAACATGTCTAAGTATACGACTGATGAGACCATCTTTTCTGTAAAAAGGAAAGGCCCTTGCCTTTCCTTTTACACATGGTCGTGCATTAGTCCACACCACACATTAACCTTTGGGGAATCCCTTTGTGCCTCATGGTATTCATGGGGGTTTTCAGATCCCCATATGCGCACATTATGACGATTAACAATGCCAGAAAGATGAAAGGATGCTTCGTTGGAGAACTTTATGTGCTTCAGAAATTCAGCATAATCTTCTATCCTTCTTAGCATATCTGTTGCAAAGACCATCCTCCTACGCCAGGGGTCGGCAACCTTTTGAGTCGGAAGAGTCAAAAATTACAATTTACAAAATTTCAATGTTTTTAAAGAGCGACCAAATTTTTTCTTGCGTACAATAAATAGTACTCGCATAAATAAAGTTTTTTGATAAACAAAAGCTAATCTATTTATTCATAAGAAAAAAATTTCTATTTATTCATAAGAAAAATATATATATTTATTCATAAGAAAAATATCTATTTATTCATATATAAATAGTGTTTTTCACAACAAATTAGATAATATATATATGGCATTATTAGATAATTGCTTATTATTTAAGTAAAAAATTAAAACAATTAAACATTTACATACAACACTAACTTGTACTTCAATAAAAAACAATTGATCAAACAAATTCAATGGGAGCAATGGCTTTGCATACAATAACGTACATTTGAGCAAACAAATTCAATGGGAGCATTAGCTTTGCATGGTTTTAGAAAGTTTGGATAAATTTGGCTCATAACTGGTTGTTTTAAGTTTCAAACACGACTCTAAATTTTTATTTGTTAGTTGGCTTCTTACTGTACTTTTAATTATATTCATTCAAGAGAACGCTTGCTCGCACCACAAATATTTCGATCCGAAGATAGTCGGCACTCCAAATGCCAACTTCTTCACCTCACTGTAGCAATCTGGAAGACTATTCCATACATCAAATATAAGTGCCTCAACTCACGGCATTTCTTTTAAAGCTGTCCACTTTTGTTGTATTACGTACATTCACTTCTGGACCTCCAACTTTTCCAACTTGCTTTTCAACTCTGTAAATTTTCCACTCCACAAAGCTTTACTTTTAAAATCGATCAATTGCATTTTTAGAGATTCAGTATCAATTCCAAATGACTCAGTGTGGATTTCGTTACTATTTATGTTCAGAGGGTTTACTATGAATGTTAGAGTGGTTTTGTTGGTTTTGAATTACTCAAATCTGTCCGCAAATTCATCTTTAATTTTTTTGTAACTGTGCTGTAGTAATTCGTGTCAACAGTTACAATGGTTTTATCGCGATATTGCTTTAGAAATTGAAAATGAAGTAATTTACCGCTCTGAACTCTGAATATCTTCTGCAAAAAGAAATAATTTTTCTTCAAAACAAACCACTTCTTCTTCTAAAACATAGGCTGGGTTTCCCTTTCCTTGCAGTTTTAGATTCAGCTCATTTAATTTCGCTGTGGCATCCACCATAAAGTAAAATTTTTGCAACCATTTGTCGTTCTCCAATTCAGGGTGATTAATGCCTTTTTCATTTAGGAATGTATTTATTTCATTCAAGCACAAAGCAGAACGTTTCAACACTTTCATATGGAAAGCCATCGCACTTTATTGTGAAGAAGGAGGTCAAAATACTGAGTCTCCATTTCGTTTAAGACTGCTTTGCTCTTGACAAGATGCTGATAACAATCTTGATTACCAAATTCATAACCTCAACTATTTCGGCCGGAAATGTTTGGGCACAAAGCGCTTCTTGGTGTATTATGCAGTGAAACGTAAGAATTTCGTAATCTATTTTGCTCTGAAAAATCGTTGTTGCCTCTTTATTTTTTCCTGTCATACTTCTGGCTCCATCAGTTGCTATTGAAACAATTTTTTTTAAATTGATCTTATTGTCTTCAAGGCATTTTTGCATGACATTCGCTATATCTTCCCTTCTATTTTGTCCAGCTCTCAGGACAAAATAGAGATCCGGGAAGACACATACCTGGCAAAAGGGCAACTTGTGCCATGTCTTTTATGTAGCAAGACTCATCTATAGCAAGTGATAAAGAAGAAAGCTGAATATCTTCCACCTGCAAATATGTTACATTTGAAGACATTTTAGCTTTTCTATCTTGTTAGCGGATAGTGGCAAATCTTTGATTTTTTTAAAGATTTCTGGTTTGTTTTGAAATCACAAAACAGTTCTTCAGATGCACGTATGAAGCAATTTTTGATATACTCATCATCTGTGAATGGTTTGCCTTTTTTTGCAATTTCTAATGATACAGCAAAGCTTGCCAGATTAACATCACTTGTAGATTGCGTCCAGTTACTTAACATGGAACTTGATTGCTGTTTTTGTTTTTGGATCTTGTCGACAGCTTTTTTTTGTTCATTGCTGACTGGATATCTACTAGCAAACTGAGTTATCATCAGTTAAATCTAATAAGATGTGATGCATAAATTATAAAATAAAGAATATGAAGTAGTGTTCCTGAAATAATGAAGCATTTAAGACCTTTAGATAATCAAAATTTACAAAAAAGAAAAATTTGTTTGCTTTATTAAACATTCCTTTCAGTGGAAGTTGTTCTGTTTTTTTTATGTTAATACTTTCTCTTTAATTTTAAAGATAGACAAATTTTTTTATTCAGTTACATACTGCCATTCTTCAACTCCTGTAATACCCAAGTGGAGAATTCTCCATAATAATCAATCACAATTCTTTTGTTCTCAGCAACATTTCTGCTACATTCTTCACTACCGGTAGCGATATCTTTTGGATTTAGAACAGCCAATCCAGCATTGATGTAGATTATCGTTCAGGTACACGTGTATGATTTTATGCCAATGTGGTAGAGCCCCATCTTGCTGCAGAATGAAGCCAGGAACTGCTTCCTCCCATTGGGGGAACAGCCACTCCGATAGTATATGTTGGTAAATTGTCCCATGAATTTAGAATAATATTGCATAGAGATAATTTTGATGTCTTCTGAAATATTTAATTGTGCATTTAAAATACACAGTGAAAACTCATCTGCTTTATTTATAATCTGTGGTGCATGCATAGCATACGATTAAGACATATAGGTGTATTAGTAATGTCACAGAGCTTTTAATGGAATAAAAATCGATGATTAATAGCCTCATGACCTGAACAAATTTTCAGTCAACTTTCATGTATTAATTTTTCTAATATATAAATATTACCTTCTACATCAAAAGATAATAGATGCAACATTTCTGAAACATCTGTAAAGAACTTTTTTATATGCTGCAATTCAGTACATATATGAAGCCTGAAATCAAATAAATTCAGAAAAACTATTATACTGGTACTTGCTGCTTAAGCATTACCACCAAAAACATCACCTATGACTCTTATTATTACAAGCATTCAGTAATCCTAGAAACTGTTATGGATTCTTCTACAAAGATAAGAGTTTTATTTCATTTTCCTTGTTAACGTTCCTCTTCCTTTTATTTATATATATTATGCAGAGAGCTAAAAGCTCATCACTCTTCTTACTTATCAGAGTCCATGTAGAGACAAAGAAAGCTGCAAAGAACAATAATTTGCCTGATGCCAATTTGAACTTGACTGAGAATCAAAAACCCACCAAAAATTTTTAAAAAGCAGATTTCATTACATAAACGGACCAATGGACAGTTCACAGTGAAC